ACAGTCTTCCTCTTCGACGACGAGCACGCCGTCGTCGGCTAAACACCGATGCCAGCGATGAGAGCGACCAGTGGAGCCTCAGCGAGAGTCTTCCAAGCAGCAGCCAGCATCACCAACAACAACAGCAACAGCAACAGTCCCAAGCAATGCCACAGTTGCCCGTTGCCTGCGTGGAGTGCAGCGTCATCCTGCTGGAGGATGTGGACGCCAAATCGATCTCCCTGCAGACTGCCCTGGAGACCTGGATCCGAGAGCTGCGCTGTTACACCGAACTGGAAAATCCTAATATCCTCATCAGCAAGACCCTGGCATCCTGCAGGTGAAGAGTCAGCCTCTCCCCCCGCTATTTTCATGCAACTGACTGCCTCCCTAAACCAGAGCTGCCTTTTGCTACTGTATCTGAGAAAATGAAAAAAGTGCGTTGACAAGAAATCCTTTGGCGCCTGTTTTACTTGTGATGCGAAGAGGCGTTTCAAGCACAATTTGGCTCTTTAGTCGTAAGCAGGGCTTTGCGCAGATGAAGGAGTGCTAGGCGTTAGAGGTAAACTCTAGGTGTGCATGGCTTGTATGGCCGCCCCCTTAACAAGAGACGAGAATAGAAATACCTTGCTCCTCAGTTAAAACAAGTGGACTAGCGATAAATTTCAAGACAGGTAAATGTTATGACGAGCGCCTGGTACTCGTACTTAGCACGAACAGTGAGCTAGCCCGACCACTGGGCCCAAGGCCCGTACTGGAGAAGCGGGGGAATACGAGTGACCACGAGCAGCTTGTCTCCCACAAAGCAAATCAAAGTAAGAGTCATTGTCTCACAGAGGCTACGCTTGTTAATGGGTCGCGTTGAGACACTGTCCAATCGGACATAGACCATTCAGAAATGAGGAGACATCGGCAGTCAGACAATGGAGTGTCTGACGACCGCCTTTGTGTGTGCTTACTCGTCGTGGGAATGGGCGCAATCCCAACAGCAAATATTTCCACGTCTTTGTCTTGTAGCGGCTAAGTAGGGATTTTATTCGAGTCACTACAAACATCAGACCGAATTCTAACATCAGGGATTGATTGTGTACAGAACCCTGCATTGCTGTCTCAGGCTGATGTTGAATGTGTCCAGTTGTGTCCGAGAGTGTGTACTTACATACTTTATACTTGTTATGACTGTGATCATGCCTGATCTAGCTGGCCCCGATGATGTTACGGACGGTACCTCCCCATGCGTGACGACTGGCGACAGCGGATCTGGAAAGCTCTAGCCAGTCTCTTCTCCAGCTCCGGAGACCGAAAACCGAAGGTCCAAGAACCACTTCCATGTCCTGACGGACTGAGTCGAGCCAGGTTTTGAGTCTCTCTTCGACGTTTCCAATAAGGTGATTGTTTCAAGTCGAGGGCAGTAGCCTTGAGCTCTTAAGGTTGACGACGAAGAACGTGTCCAAGCCACCTCAGTCGTCTTTCCTTTATGGCGTGGGATATCCTTGTGATTTTCTCGCAGTGAGTGCGGACTGTCTCGTTTGAGAGGAAGTCGGTGAACTTCACTCTAAGGATGTTCCTCAGACAGTAGTGGTCAAATACTTCCAGCTTCCAGTTATCTTCCACGCGCACTGCCAAACATTCCCATCCGTATAGGAAAATGGATCACACAGATGCACGCTAAACGCGGATCTTTGTGGAAATAGAGATATCGCGTCGGGTCCATAGGTCCTTCCGAAGGCTGGAGAAAACTCGTCGTGCTGCGTCAATTCGGGA